GAAACTTTTGAACTTGAAAGAAGGAAAGTTTTTCGAGGTCAAGAGTATGAACAACTGAACGATCTATATCTACCATGGTAATAACAGATATACAGATCATGTTAGTGGTAAATATCATGTTGGTGATTATGTTGATGGTGATGGTGCTCGTGGTGGTGTTGATACTAAAGTGATTGAGGTGGTGGTGATTGTGATGGTGATTGTAAGGCTGAGGATGATGATGGCGATGGTGTTAATGATGGTATGATCATGATGATGGTCGTGATGATAAAAATAAAATAGTAATAACAATAATTTAAAAAGTTATAATGGTAGTAATAGTATTGATAATGATGATATCAATCATGATAATGATAATGACAGTAACAGCATTGACAATTATAATAATGATAATGATAATGATGATAATAATAATAATGATGATAATAATAATAATAATGATAACAATAATAATAATAATAATAACAATAATGATAATAATGATAACAATAACAATTACAATCATTTTAATGATAATAACAACAATAATCAGATGATGAAGAAGAGGAAATGAACGAAAAAGACAGTGAAACAGAAGACAACAGTAATAACAATATGAATAATAAAAACAAATACACGAACCCAGCATCTGTCCTGGACCAGCGGCAGGAAGGCGCGAGAGGCAACACCGCTCGCGCCGTGAGAGCTTTTCCTCGCGCGGGTCGGCGGAAACGGACTTTTTAGGGGGGGGGGGGGAGGCGATGGTGGTGAAATGTTGATGTTGATGTTGTTAGTGGTGGGAGTGGGGGTGGAATGTTTATGTTGTTAGTGGTGGTGAAAATGTTGATGCTGATGTTGTAAGTGATGTTGATGGTGGTAATGGTAGTGATGGTGAAATGTTGATGTTGGTGAGGAGGAAAGTGATGATCATGTTGTTGGTGGTGTGTTGATGTTGATGATGTTGGTGGTAGTGAAAAAAATGTTGATATTGTGATGTTGATGTTGTTGGTGGTAAAGTTGTTGTTGATGTTGGTGTTGATGATGGTGATGAAAATATTGTTGATGATGATGGTGTTGCTGGTGGTGTTGAAAATGTTCTTGGTGGTGAAATAGTTGTTGATGTTGGTATTGATGTTGTTCTATTGGTTTTTGTTGAAGCTAAAGTTGTTGATGTTGTTAGTATTTCTATAATTGTTGTGTTTGTTCCTATTGTATTTGTTGATCTTGTGTTTTATTGTTATTGTAGAGTCTGACTGTACTTAAAATCATCACCAACCGGTCAGTTATCAAATGATACTCACCACCAACCTGTCACCTTTTCCTTACTAATTCACAATGCTGTCAAGTGCTCCCCATTTTCGTTCTGTCCTTCAATGCTCGCGGGGTTTGTGGCGCTCTTCTGTCTATCTATCGAGGACAATCTATCGCATCTCTGTCTGTCTCTTCGTCTGTCTGTTTGCTTGTCTGTTTGTTTGTGTTTCTCTCTCTCTAGAGGCAGAGAGGTAGGAATACTGATAGATGGACACGGAGATAGATATAGGGTAATATGTTAACCATTTGATTGGGAAAAATGGATTTGTTATAAGAAAGATATACCCTTTTCAAATATGATGATATATACTCCTAGGCGTCATATATGGCGTTAGATTTACATTTTTGTTCACATATTTGCAATTGCAAGTTGTCACCCATTGGCAACATCACCAGTTCCCGAACCAATACCTGGTACATATTATACAGTTAAAAAAATATATATATAATAGTGAGTTTGAAATTATTCTATCATTCATAGGAAGTTTACTCGACCTTGAATAGAAAAATTTACAGTGTTCTGAAAACACACCCCAAAAAAATGTAATATCCTTTCAATAAACATACACAAATACATCTTCTTCTCCATGAAAATTATTTGTTGACCTTATCAAATGCATCACAGTATTTTGACATGCCCCACAAAGTGAATAAATATCATTCTCACTGAAGAAAACAGTGCATGGGTGCACTACACTGACCAATGTTCTGTAGATTAGCCGTTTGGCGACACATATGTATGAGAAATTATGTAAATTGTAGGGGCATATATATACGTGCATACAAGAAATTCTTGTGGAGGTATTTGGATATTATATGGTATATAAAAGTAGAAATATAGTCAAATATATTGCAAAAGGGTTGGGGGTGAAATTTTAAACTGTCATAAGGATACACGATAATTTACACCGTTGTCTAGGATAACTCTTCTCTATCCCTAGTTGCACTGATGTATACCCAGCAAAAGTAGGCACAAAGCTCACTCAGAAGCTCTCTCTGAAATATGAATATATATGGAAAACATAGAGCTTCCAAACAGTAAATAGGGCAGTGGCAGAAGTCACTAGAATCTCAAGTATTCCCAAGATGTTAAAATTCACCAAGAGGAGGTAGCAATGGCCTGTAAACAGTGTCGCTTGGCTACTTTGGCTTGCAGTCATTCGGTTTCGTTCATGGTAAACTGCTTTAGAAAAAAAATGCCCTGGAGCTTGATGATGCATTATGCGAACAAATCAATTAAAGGGTTAAAAAAAGGAAGCAGTTGATGAATAGATAGAAGCAGTGATTGATGGAAAATTATATAGATACAGAAGGGGAAGAATTTGATAAGTAAATGACGAAAGAAAGAAAGATTTTTTTTTAATTCTGACTCAATATGTAACTATACGTTGTTCCTTTCTTATCGTTTCATTTAATCTTTATACACATAATGTGTTTATACTTTCTTTCAAAGGTAGATGGAAATAGATAGCAAAATGAAATAAGCAGATACAATAAACATACTAAAATAGATACTAATATATCATAAATAGGTAAATATAATACAAGAATTATATAAAGATATGAATATAAAAAAGAAATATTATAAAGATAAATATAATTATCAAGATAACATAAATGGAGGAATATAATCATTAGAATATTACAAATTGATGAAAATAGTTACTGAAATAAATAAATATAGAAATACATACATATAAAAATATGTCCTAATAATATGAACACCAAAAGGTATGCAGCCATCCCCCTACCCCCCACAACGTTCACAAAATACCCCAGGAGACAAAAAAACAAACAAACATCAAAGTGATTTTGAAGATAATAACCACTTTACACGAGGATAGAGTGAAGTAGGAATCCCCTCCCCCCCTTTCCCCTCCCCCCTCTCCCCCCCCCTCCAAAACCCAAAGGCAGGCACAGGATGATCCCGATAATCCCAAAAGCAAACAGAATAGCGATAGACAACACAGTAAGGGTACTTTGTGTCAATACTACAGGAGTAAGAGACGCCACTTAAGGGATTCAGGACGCTGCTGAGTCCGTGACAGAGGTGTGTGAGAGGAAACTTCAAGGCGAAGTTATGATGGGAAAGGGGGGGGGTGTTATAGCTTTGAGTAAAAATACAAACAAACACGCTGATATATACACAAATGCATATTCATACACATTCACAAACATATTCATACACATGTACACTACACACACACACACACACGCACAGATGCACATGTACACGTGCGCATATGTATATGTGTATACACACATAAACATATACAGATACAGACAGACATACACTTTTACCCTTAAACACAAATGTTTTTACATACAGGAAAAAAAAACGAATTCATAATAAAGATTCATATGGATACTTAGAATACACAGAAAACGTTAAGCAAATTCTTATAAAATATAAAATGAAAAACAAACATTGTTAATTTCGCAACAAACATGCGGAAAATGGATTACATTTGAGGATAAAATCAACAAAGAAAAAACAAAGAGATGGATGAAAATGAGAACATGAATTAAACGAGCTGACGTAGGCATGAAAAATTAAAGTAAAATAAAGAATAAAAAAAAACGAAAAAAACAAGGCTGACTAAATTAAACAAAATGTTTACAAAGGAACATGCGTATTTACTCAACATTTTGTTTATATTAGTCCCACTAAAAAAATATAAGAGAGAGAGAGAGAGAAAGAACAATAATAGATAGTGAGTGAGTGAGAGAGAGAGAGAGCAAAAGATAGAGAGACATATAGACGGATAGCTAGCTAGATAGATAGAGAGAGAGAGAGAGAGAAAGATTGAAGGAAATTTTAACAAGTGGTACAAAATTGCACAAAAGTGGGACAATTCCAATCTTCAAAGCCATGGTAACAGTCCCGTTAATTTTGCTTAAAACCAAAGAACAAAGACAAAAATAAACCAACTGAAAATTGTCAACAAACAACAGAAAGTAAAAAAAAAGATAATAATAACAGAAAAAAATATTTAATAAATATATACCATTAGCCACAGTCACTTAAAACGAATTAACCGCCTCAGAAACATTTAAAAAGGTCAGGAAAAGTTTCAGATGTTTTATTAAATAGTTGTCTAAGAATCCATTAGTAAATATACCTAAGATCTAAACCGGACAAAAAAAAATAATGATAAAAAAAATAAAAAGATAAAAAGTAAAAGTTTGTACAACCAACCAATACAAAACAAAAAAGATTAGAAAAAAGGATCTAGAGAGTAAAATCTTTACTTATCGTTTTAGATCCAAACCAGTATTCTTAACACAAACAAACCCTGTTAAAATAATGATAATGATTATGATTATGATTATACTTCAAAGTATATCTATAATTATGATGATGATGATAGCGATAATGATTCGGATAAGGATAAGGATAAGGATAAATGGTAATGATAATGATAATAATAATGATAATGATTATGATAATGATAATGATAATAGTAATAATAATGATAATGATAATAATAATAATGATAATGATGATGATATTGGTAATGATAATGACAATGATGATAACGATAACCATGATCATGATATTAGTAATGATCATGACGATGATAACGATAATGATAACAATAACAATAACACGTACGACAACGGTAATAAGGACAACAACAAACATAGAGAAAAAGAAAAACAAAAAAGACGAGCCAGACCCCGACGCCCAAGAGCCCCACAGACCTTACCTTGACAGCCTCCTTGATCTGCTGGTAGTTCCTCGTGTGCTCAGTCAAGAGGACGAACTGCCGCCAGGAGTACACCTTCAGGAGGGACACGAGGGCCTTCACGATCTTGGTCGAGGGCGGCATCGTGCGGGCGAAGGTGTAGTACTTGGTCTTGTTGCTCACGCGCTTGTCGGCGCACTT